GAAACTAGTACTGGCCACAGAGATAAAAAGGCATGTACATATAAAGAAAACCTTCTCCTGATAAAGGGGAATTTGATAAAAATAATTTAAAAAAAAAGTCATGAGGAAGGGGAATTTGGTAGGTTATCGTGTCCACCTACGCCAGGGGCACAGAGAAGCTATTGCTGTGCCCTCTAGTGCCTGAGAATTGCAATACCTACTGCAATTCCTAAAAATCAGACTTGTGCACCTGAAAAAATTGACCAGAGAGCTATTTTCTGTAGTACCTAGTGTGGGTCATCTCCCTCTGTGGGACACTGTTAAGGTTACGTGATTCCAGAATTTGAAAGACCTCATATTCATTCTGAAACAGAGTGTTGTCAGAAAAAACTATATCAACTTCCCCCATGTAGACAAAACTTTAGAACAGAATTTCAGCCTTTAGTTTTGAATTTCCTACCTTTGGAGGATATCTTTTATATTTTTTGCGCTAAGAATGCCTCAGAATGTGGTGTCAATGGTCCAGGTTTTTTATGAATAAAAGAGCCCAAACAAACCCCCAGACAAAATGTCTGTTTCTTCCATAATTAAAAACAACCAGCTCTCAAATTAGCAATTATGTAGGATGGGCTATCTTTTATGGATCAGTTTAAAGGATTGAAACCTCTATTCAAACAGCATACTTTTAAGTATGTATTTTTGGTCCTGTTAAATAGGGAGCACAGACAAGATACTAGTCACTCCACTCATATAGCTACTGTTGTAGTCATAGCTCTATAAGTGACTTCTAATGACAGCAGGATTTGCAGAAAATGTATTGCCTGCAAAAAAAAATCAGGAGTATTTTTAACACTAATTATTTTCATTTACAAAATTAAAATACTTTGTTGCTTGACTGTAGTTTGCATCTAGAGGTATTAAAGCACTTGCATGTTAATCTAGTAATTCTATTCCCACTGTGATTAGGGAGAGCAAAAATAGAAAAAATAATTACTGACGGGCAGCAAGGCAGCAAATCAATGGAAGCCTGCAAACAGTTTCTGTAATACTGAGATCCCTGCTCTAACCGTTCAACCTTTCTCCATTCCACTTGGCACCAATTTGTGAAGAGGTGCATGAGACCGCAGAACTGCAAAAGCAGTGCCAAGCTAGTTATAATTTCTCCTCATATTGTTAGCTTAACTTCATCAGTAAAACACTGTCCTTTAGCATTTTCTTCCTCAATCCAGTTTGCCTGACACCATGTTTATTTTTTTGTCTGGAAGGCATTAAAATAGATATTTTATGGGGAAACAAAAGCAGTTTATCCCAGCCCCCGCTCCTGTCTCCTCCCTATATATGTCTTATTCGGTAGTACCAACAGGCAAGCAAAGGCAGGTTACACAAAATAGTAAAGCTGAGTGACTGGACTGTGGCTGGGGATGAATACAAAAATAGCCAAAGAGAAGAGCAAAACCGAAATAATGACTCTAAATTGACTGCAGTAGTGACTTTGGCTTCTTTGCTTTCCACTTGATTTTAATTCTTCATGCTTCATTTCTCATTGTTTCCCATGTGCTCTATTGCCTTACACTGTCTGTTTTCTCTCCAGCTGCTCCCTGCCTACTGTAACTTAAAGTGTGTTTCTGCTGGAGCTGGTTCTTTTATAATCACATACTTCTTAGGTATTTCTTAGTGCTTCCACCTTCTCTATTATTACTTGCTCCTCGTCATCACAAAAAGTTCTTTTCATGGTCCTAGAGAGAAGAATCACAAATGGTTTGGCACACACCCCATCAAATCCACTTCTCAACTGAAATACTCTTTTGCAATTTAGGGCCATGATACTGTCAACTGGAGCAGAAGGATCTCATAAAGTCTATTTACCTCTGCATGCCAACAGAATATAATCCATTAAAAATACATTTTGTGAATGAAGCTCTAATGACAGAAAATCCTGTCTCGTTCCCTTACCCCGCCATCGGAATTACTCTCCAGCCCACCATGCTCTCTTCCATCCCTCCTATTCTTTTGCATCTCTTACCTCTAGCCTGTTCTCTTTCTCCCCTTGCTGTGATAACAACTTTTCCTTAAGTGTGTTTTCTTTGTCATCTGAGAAATTGATTCTTTTCCTAAAATTTGCCTTATCTGAGGGCTAAATCCTTTTCTCTGTACTCCTATGGGAACCTTAGGAGTCAGTAGAGATGCTTCAACTAAGCAAGGCTTAGTCTTTAATAAACAAATACCTTTCCCAACAAGGCTTAAGCAACTACTGAGTTAGTGTAAAGATTCACCAAGTGTATTTCTGTCCTTTATTAAGAAGTTGATTTAGCTTAAACTGTATTTCCAAAATGGTACTTCACTCCGCAGAGAAAAGAGAAGATGTTACAGTCTCATAAATACTGCATGCTCAGACATCCCTTTGATTTCTCACTGAGAGACTAGCATGCAATAATTGCTGTGCTGAAACTGTATGCTCTTTTGAGATCAGCTAGGTGAACCTTTCAGTCCCAATCCACACAGTTGTCTCACGACTTGAGCTCCATAAAAAATACCAGGTAACGAGTCACTTGATTTTCATTCTTTTCAGTAAGAAATAATAGTTACAAGAAGTGTATGTTCGAGGTGGGGGGGGGGTCTATGAGAAGAAATGTCCAAAATTCCTGGGGGCTCTGGGAGAGCTGGGGAGCAGGGAAGGAGGGAGTGGCTGATCCCCACAACTGCACGCCGAGCTCCTGTGTACTAGTGGGACTCTGGGCCTGGCACCGCGTGCAGGTTGGACCGCAGAGCTGTTGACTCAAATGTTGACTACACCGAGGTGGACGGGTCTCAAGGGAATCATATGTCCAGACTGACTAGGGCAGTCTCTCAAGACAGGATCTTGTCCTCATATCCCAACAAAGGTCACTTTCTCTGAGCAGCTATTTTTATCCTGGATTTTAGAAGGAGAAGTTTCCTCGTCTCTCCCTCCTCTAGTGGGAACTCAGCTATTCCCAGCCCCATAGCAGGAAAGGAGACTGCTCCTGGCAGTTTCATAGACCACTGTAGAGAAGTAGTAGTGTTCCCAGCAGATAAATTGTATGAGCAGGGGAAGGGCAGTTCTTTCTCTCTTTCATTCTTTTTAATCCAGTTATTATCTGATCTGTATCCTTTCAATAAATGTACATGCCTTTACTTCTCCAAGCTCTGGAGCTGATAGCTCTGTAATACCACCCGTCACTGCTTAGACAGTAGCTGGCCCAGCAAATCATACACCTCCAAGAGCAGCTCCCAGGGCTCTGTTTAAGACCCCATCTGACCTAAATCTTACTTAGGCTTAACAGCCATAAATGTGTGTTTCTTTTTTCTTTTTCTTCTTTTTTTGAACAATAGCAGTTATGGGAATATGTAATTTTGCTTTTGCAGTTTATTACTAAAAACCCTCTAAGGCATTTAATATAAATGACTCTAAAAGGGGGGAAAAATCTGCTTTTGATTTCCTTTTTTATATGGGTCATCGCAGAAGTTTTGCATTTATTGTTATTGTTATTATCACAAATGTCTTTCCTTTCCTCAGCCTTTGTTCCCAGGCCGGGACTTGCCTAGTTTTTAAAAATACTGTTAATAGGTGCCTTTCCTTAAAAAGCTTGAGATCTTAGTGCATATGTAGGCATCTACAAAGTAAAGTTTATGCTATTATTATGATGAAACATAAAAGGCCTGACTCTGTGCTCTTAGTATAGGCAGTATTTTCAAGTACTCAATAAATGCTAACCATTTACCAGAATTAAAAGACAAAGTCGAGTATCTGGATTCTTTTAAAGCTGGGAAGGTATTTTGACTTCAGGGGAACCTTGCTGCAACAGTTTTCCTAAGCAAATAACATATACCATAAAATATATTCAAAATTATACAGTTACAATGTAAGTATTGTATATAATCATGATGATGCACACTATTAGGTTGTATATAAGTTGTATGCCATATTTATAAATTGCCTTTTTATACGATGAATGAGAGTGCAAAACAAGGTATCTGGGTGCTCCTTCAGCCTAGGAGGTGAAAGACTCCATCCTTCTGGTGTGGCTTCAAAGTCGTAAGAACTGCACATCTCAGTCCAC